GATCCCTTTAAAGGAACCCTAAAGGAACCTCCTATAGTTACTAAGTCCCCCGACCCTCCAAGAAGGACCTCCGCAAGGCGAGTGAGAAGTTGCCGGAACCTCTGCGCCTCGGCTTCGCAGGTTTCTGGCCCTACTAAGTAACAAAAGAGGGGTTCCTTTAAAGGGGTCCTTTTTAAGGGATCTATGGGGATTCTATAAGGGTATAGGGTTTAGGGTTTAGAGTATCTTGGAGGGTCGGGGGACTTAGTAACTGGTTATTTTATAGACTTATAAGTACCCTAACCCCAATTAGGGTCCCTTTTAAGGTACTTTTAAGTCTACTTACTACCTACTTACTAAGTCCCCCGACCCTCCAAGTAAGGAATCCTAAACCATCCTAGGGTTCCTTAGAGGATTCCTTAAAGGGTTCCTTAAAGGGTTCCCTAGAAGGGCTCTGTGCCTCGGCTTCGCACCTTAGAGGTCTGAGGGTTTAGGGTTTTAGGGTTTTTAGGGTTTTTAGGGTTTTTCGGGTTTTAGGGTTTTAGGGTTTAGGGTTTTAGGGTTTTAGGGCTTTAGGGTTTTAGGGCTTTTAGGGTTTTAGGGTTTTAGGGTTTTAGGGTTTAGGGTTTTAGGGTTCAGGGTTTAAGGTTTGGGCTTGTAATAGGGTTCGTCTCGGGCAGCCCAACTGGAAGAAGGTGCAGCGGACCCTTGCCGGCGTGGCGTTTAGCACTCTCCACCCCGAAGGCATGTGGTTCATGCCGGGCAGCCTTGCTTAGGAAGTGTTTCGCTTAGTGCAGTCAGTGCATTGGGAACAGGGCAGCTGTAGATTGAAAATTGAAAACAAATCAGGGAGGTGTGGTACGTGTGTTGGAACGGAAGTTAACGAGGGCCTACTTTGAGCGTGTCCCGGCATGGACAGGGCACCGCGCCAGCTACGCGGCCAGGTTCGAGGCGCCTGACTCTGGCAGAGCACACCGTCATGATTCTGAACCGATGGGAGCCGCCAGTCATGATTCTAGTGTCGAGTTTTATTTGGTGCCCCTTTCACAAAGACAAGAAAGGTGGCAGGCAGCAGTCATAGTTGTAGTTTGACTTGGTTGCGCAAATTGGAACTTGCTTAGCAAGCCATGCCATGGGGTCTTTTCCCGCTGGTCCCTTCCGAACAGTAAAACGTCGTCCATCTCAGAGCAGAGTCCTTTCTCAGTGCAAAGCAGTCCTATCGTAGAGAGACAGCCCGAACGTCAACAAGATGGCTGACAGCTGCACTTGGTAAGTTGCCGCTTCTGGCGCAATCAAGCCTTCAATCAGGCAGCAGCAGCACCAAATAGGCCGCTCCGAAGTCCGCAGCAAGACAAAGTTCTAAATAAGAGCACATGACACCGAAGCTAGCTCACCAAAGAAGGGTGCCCGCCTAGTCCTGGCCCAAATTTTCCAGGTTGACCTTTTCGCGTGGATCCGAGGAAGACATTGGATCAGAAGCTGCCTGCCAGCGCTTTGCTCCCCGCGCACCAGCTTGCAGGAAAAGCTGTGGCTTTTGTCACAGGCTGGCTGGGAAAGAACGGTTCGGGCACATTTTGGGCCCTCTGGTGACAGAGTGCAACTCCCGTACTTTGCTTTCCTGAGCCAGGTGCGACAATGTCCAACACCTTGCTGGTGCTAAGCGGCGAGCGGGATGCCGCCGGTGCCATTGGCCCGGGCTGCGAGGCCACAGGGCGAAAGGAGCATGCTGATGCAGCGCGAGCCCTCTGAATGTGTGGTGTAAAATTTAGTGTCGTTTTCTTTGTTCTGGCACAGGTATGTATATATATATATATATGTCTTTACCTGTGGATGTACACGTACCTGTACATGTAGATGTAATGGCAGGTTGCGAGAAAGTTCTTGCGTAGATGCTGCAACAGTTTCGGTCATAATAGCGGATTGAAGCCCCTGGTTCGGACGTCGCACAGCGAGTTGTTGTCAGACAGGGCTCCGCCGTTTGCTCGGCAAGGACCGCAAAGTTGCCAGCTTGGCCAAATAGTCGGGGTCAGGTCTGGGGGCATCGGTTTTTAGATTTCTCATCCAATCACATTAGAGTTTGGCATTGATGTCCCTGGGACATGCTCAGGACGGCAAATTCTAATTCTCGTAGAGGGAATTGTGCATTTCCCTAACTCGGGAAGTAGCCCAAGCGGTTCCCTGTCTCCTTACCCCTGAATGCCAAAGCAGCATGGACACAATTTGTATTCGGCCCTGGATCAAACTTGAATAAACTTGAAGAAAGCCCCAGCCAATCGTTCTCTCCGTTTCCCATTCAAGATTAAATGCTGCAAGATTCCGGGCTGGGGGGTCGGAGTTGTGCATGCACAGGCGCCTGGCCTTGGGAGCCGCGCGGCGCCATGCTGCGAATGCACAGCGGCCTGGTCTTGGGAGCTGCGCAGCGCCATGCTCCGGAGCGCTCTCAAAGCCGTGCAAGAGAGTGACGCTGTTGCAGGTGCCCCGCCTTCGCAATGAGATGATCATCCCAAATGTGGCAGAAGTGCACCGCGGCGACTCTCTGGACGTAAGAGTGGATGCAGAAGAGACGAATGAGATGGCGTTTCGGGTAGTATGCCAGAGTCATGTATTACAACTGCCTATGATACGACAGTTTCGTTTCATCGGATACAAACGGAGGTTTCCATGGTTGTTCTTGGGCATGTTGCAAAATCTGCATGTTTCGTTTCATCGGATCCAGATGCATGTTTCCGCTGATTTCGAAGTGAATGGGGGTAAGAAACAGTACTTTGATGTGACCGGAAAGAAACTTGTTTTTTCCACTGTTTGGATCGGATACGTCCGTTGGGTCAAATGACGCAGCCTTCTAGACTCAAAGAGTTTGTCTAAGGCCGCCCAACAGTATGTTCACCCTCTCGCGTGTGGCTCTGTTTCTACAGGAGAGCGCCGACGTGCTGAGTCTGCAGATGCCAGCAGCCCCGCCACAAGCGAAGGCAAGGTAGCCACTGTCGCATCAATATTGCATGCAGCAGGATCGCTCAGACGATCTGAGAATGAACTAGCCGGGTGCTTAAATAAGTCGTCGAACAGTTTCATATTCTTCAGTCGACATTCCATGTACGTCTTTGAAGAGGCAGCAAGTACAAAGCATTAGATCTTCGAGCAAGCAACACAAGCGGCATCATTTGCCGCCGGCTTGTGATCGAAAATGCAGCAACTGAACTTCGGCAGGCGGGCCGGCTGCACTCCTTCAAAGCGGCGTATCCACCTCATCCCATTGGTGGGCGCTTGCGCAAAGCTTTTGTGGAGAATCCGCAGCCACCAAGTGCACCAGAATCACCAGAAGTTATGCGTCATGTCACCACAATTATACGAGGGAACCATGACCTAAAGAAGCCAATTCTAATTATTTAGAATCCGACATTACAGCACATAAAACCCACACCCAAAAACCTCCTAGAGTCCGAGAGCCTTCAAGCTTGAGTTCAGGGTTAAGGGTCTGGGTATTACGGCGTACCTTAACCTTCCAAAACCTACTTATTTGTAGGGTCCCCTATAGATTCCATATCAGGGCTTGTACGAACCTACAAAAAACAGGATTTTTGTAAGTTATAGGTAAATCCTGAGACTCAAGACTTTCAGATGGAACCCAGGTTCAACCTTGTCGGCCTCCAAAGCGAAGTATGGACGTCGCTTGCCTTCGACCGGGGTTTTAGGTTTTCGGATTTAAGGCTTCAGGGTTTTGGAGTTCAAAGTTTTATTCTTGTGATGACTACTGCCATCTCTATTGTTCTCACGTGTCTGCCAATAGCTGCTGCTTTATACTGCTACTGCCATTGCTGCTGCTGCGCCTCCTGCGCCTCCTGCGCCTCCTGCGCCTCCTGCGCCTCCTGCGCCTCCTGCGCCTCCTGCGCCTCCTCCTCCTCCTCCTCCTCCTCCTCCCACCACCACCACCACCACCACCACCACCACCACCACCACCACCACCACCACCACCACCACCACCACCACCGCTTCCCATCCATTATCGGTACTAATAGGAACATACAAATACTAAATGAATACATAGATACCCAAATGCGGAAAAGATAATGAATTCAGATATGGTGCGGGACAGCAAGCAGGGTGATCATGACGCAACGGCAACGAAAAGACAGCGACAGTCACATTTCTATACATTTTCGTCATAGTCATAGGGCAGCTCGACCATCCTTGGGCAAGCTGGTTATGATATGGGGGTTACTCTGAAACTGCCTGCTCTACTGGGAGCCCTTAATCAAAAACTGATCATATTGTGTGAGTTGGACCCCATTGAAACCGAACAAGTTTTGTACAGACAAAGTCATTTAAAGCTGTATGCCGCCTTAGGCCCGAAGCACACACCGTGATCGGTAAACAGCAAAAGGCCGAACTGTCCCCAGCCCTACGTTCTGAAACCCGAGGCTTAATTCTGTCATAAGATCCCAGTACAATCTTCCGGTTCTACTACAGTATTTTATATTGCAAAGCCATCTTCTATTGACGAGGGCTCTTATAGCAACCACTTGTACGCACCTGGAGCCGCACGTCTTCCACCAAGACATGAGGGTTAAACCCTACATCCACAACGACCAGGCTTGAGGATTTTTCGGCATGACATGACTTCCTTTCCCAAGCCCTACAGAACAGCCCTACAGAACAACTATAAACTTCTCATCGCGTCCTTGCTGTTTGTAGCATCCCCGGTACAACTCGAACTTCTCGCCCAGTCGGCTCCGCCTGCCTCCGAAGAAGACGCAGGAAAAGGCAGGGCTTTCTTTTACCTTGGACGTGTATTGACTTGAGAGAGTTTTCCCTAGGGTTCCATGCGGGTCGCAGAAACTGCTTTCTGCTTGGTTGAGGGATTTGGGGGGTATTATGTAAAGGCTTGAATAATTCGAACACGGTATGGGGGTGTATTCCACTACATATGTACAATATGAGTATGACTATTTTAGTGTTTGTTGGTTACATGCAGCACAGAACTGCGAGCTGGCTTGCAGAGCCTCTTAGAGCCAGAGACAAAGGCGACGGAGGATCCTTACTTAGATGTGGATGTTGCGCAGTCCATCCCGGTGGAGCGGCACGGTGAGCAGGTGGGTTTTTCGATGCTCCAGATGAGCTCGCAGATCAGGTCGACACTATGGCTGATCTACTCCCTATGCTTACATCCAATGTACATGGGGGAGCAGCTTAAGCGCCAGCGCAGCATTTCTTTCATTGGCAGCTCCGAAAATATTGTCTTGCTTACCTTGTAAGGGGTCCTAAACTCAGGGGAGTAGAATTTAAGATTTAAGATCTTTATAACTCTATGAGGTGCTGTAGATAGGCTTGAGGCACGGCTTTGTCAGGGATGTGTGGGGGTTGCGTTGTTCAGCCTTTCTTGAGTTGTGCATGGGGTTGTATGGTTCCACAGGAGCTTCTAGCATCACTACATCGGGTCGTTCAGGGCTGAAGTTTTGACCGTTGGCCCTGATGTTCAATACTCAATACCTTTCTTACGGCATTACGGTTCCTCATTGTAACTATCGCGTACTGATTAAACCCTAAACCCGAAACCTTGAACTCTAAACCCTGAATCCTGAACGGAATTCGCCCCAGGAGTCTTCCAGTCATTCAGGCCCGATGCATCACCTCACAAGCCCGGTATGGTCTTTGACCCTTCACCCCAGCAAGTAGGAGTCAACCGAGAGTTGAAGGTTAGATTTCAGGGTTTGGGGGCTGGGCAGGTTTTATTGGGGTTTGTACCTCTTCCTACTTATTAAAGGCTCATCATGGGACTTAGAGTAGGGTAACTCCACTTACGGAACTTATAACCCGACTTATAACCTACTTACTAAGTCCCATGATCATTAACCCCCTATGTCCTAAGCCTAGGCTTTACTCGCGAGGCAATGATTCCTGAATCGGCAAAGGGCGCTAACACAGGGGCAGTAGCAATCAGAAAAGGTTCTTGTGGTGTGCCACAGTATCTTGGCGTTCTTCTGGTTGACTCTTAGGACTTTAATTTTTTGGGCTTCTATATGACCTATAACAGGTACGCAAAAAGTTTAACTTTTAGGAGGGGTTTCAGAAGTCGGCCGAGGTGTAGTCATGCAGGGCTCGAAGGGGGAGTTGTGTTACTGTAGGAACCTGATTAAGAAACCCTTGGCATATAACCCCAAAATAGTCGGTGTCATATATAAGGAACCCTAATACAGGCCCAAGGTTTCTTAATCAGGTTCCTACAGTATTATAGTACCCTTATAGATCCCTTGTAGTAACCCTTATAGACCCCTTTAAAGGAACCCCAAATCAAGTTCTACCATTGCTAGTTGCTCCAGGCTCACTGCGGCCCCAAGGGGCGAAACCCTAAAGCTCCACCCTTGAATGCTACATCCTAAACCCTGAATCCTAAGCCCTGAACCTCAAACCCTCGATCCTAAACCCGAAAAGCCTAAACCCCTAAACCCCAAACTCTAAAACCCCAAACCCCTAAACCCTAAACCCTTAAACCCTAAAACCGTAAAGCCCTAAACCTTAAACCCTAAACTCCGACACCCTGAAACCCCATAGATCCCTTTAGAGGAAGAACCTTCATCCGAAATCCTAAACCCTCTCCTGCCTCAAGCTTCGCGTGTTCAGGCCCAGGAGCTTTACATGAAGGGCCTCACCACATATCCGTGCCGACCTCAGGGGGGCCCTTACAGGTTTAGGGGTTTAGGGTTTAGGGATTTAGGGGTTTTAGGGTTTTAGGGTTTAGGGGTTTAGCGTTTAGGGTTTACGCCCTCAGGGCTTTTAAGGGAGACCTTAAAAGTTCCCGTAAGGGTCCCACAAGAGTAGTATAGTAGTATAGGGCCCCCTTTAAGGCTACTACAGGGTTTTGTACCTGCCTTGTGCGCCTATCGCCCAAGGTAGTTAAGGTAGGGTTCTATACCTTATAGTCCTTAAGGAAACCTTTAAAGGGTCTCTTCAAGGATACCTTGAAGGGTGCCCTTGAGGATTTTTTGATGCTTCTGGGTGCCTTTTAGGGTTGTTCGGTTCTTTTAAGTGCAAACCTTTGGGGCCCATTAGGGTTCTGTTTCGGTCCTTGGGTCCCGCAAGGGTGCCTTAAAAATGGCCTTACAAGGGTTCTGTAGGAGGGTTCCCTTTAAGGGGTTTGGGAGCTTGGGTGTTCAGGGTTTAGGGGATTTAGTTCAGGGGTTTGGGAGTGCAGGGATCTGGGAATCGCGGGTTAGGGGTTTTAGGCCAAGGGTCTACATAGTCTAGGGTTTAGGGTTGAGGGTTTAGGGTTGAGGGTTTAGGGTTTAGGGTTGAGGTTTAGGGTTTAGGGTTTGGGGTTACTGAAGTGTTTATGGCGGCTTACAACCTCCCCTTAGAAAGCTATCGCATCATCGCATACTTGGCGTTCTTCTGGTTGACTCTTAGGACTTTAACGTTTTGGGTTTCTATATGGGAGTTTCCGAAAATAGGGGGCCCTAATACGGTACCTTACATAGTAGGATCCTTATTAAAAGGACCCCAAAATAGGGTGCCCCTAATGTTCGGAAACTCCCATATGAACTCTGCTTCAAGCCCCATGGCACCTGATTGTCGCATTCCTTACTTAAAGGCTCACCCACGCGACCTTTAGCCGCTCAATTAAACAGGCTGGCGGTCTCTTTCTCTGTTGCTACTACTGCCTCATATAGCTCTAATAAGGATAGTAATATACAGCCCCTGAAAACAGAAATCCTAAGTAAAGAGACCACCGACCGATCGTACCCCCTCAACCTTAAAATCTCATCTTTTGAGCTTTTCAGGAATCCCCCTAAACCCTAAACCCTAAACCCTAAACCCTAAGCCCTTTTTGGACATTAGCCGATCGACCCCAAAGGCCTAAACGCCTGGAACACCGTCAGTACAAAGATCCCTTGGAATAGAATTGTAAGGAAACCCGTTAAGGAACCCTCCAAGACCCTAAACCCTAAACCCTAAACCCTAAACCCTAACCTCCGGCTCAATGCTTCGACCGTCCGGCTGAATCTTATTCAAAGCTTTTCAGACTCTGGCTTCTCCTGTGCTTGGAGCCAGCAAACAGCTAGGCACTCTTCTGATTGATTCTTAGGACTTTAACTTTTGGGGGTTTCTATATGGACTATCATAAGTAGGCAAAAAGTTTAACTTTTAGGAGGGGTTCAGAAGCCGGCCAAGGCGGCGGGAGCAGGGTTGCTGTCTGCGAGGACGGCCCAGGCTTCCGATGCCTGATAGATGATTGAAGTGAGCCATCTTCTGTCCCAGATGGGAGTTTCGGATAATTAGGGTAGCGTACTTCGGGGTTCTTTATCATAAGGATCTTACTATTTGGGGTGCTATATTTGGGTCCCCTATTTTCGGAAACTCCCATATGGGCTCCAGCCCGGCAGCTTTGGTCGGCCAGGTGTCGTCGCAGTACGGAGAAGCTGTACCGACTGACGACCAAGTGTAGAAACGCAGAACCGAAGATGGTAGAAGTGCGACCGGATGAAGTACATGCCCAGTAGTACCCTTATTCCCTTTTTGTAGTCCTAGGTTCCTTATCAAGCTAACCAGTTTCTCCCTATTTATTCCTAGGTTACTGGGCATCCTAGAGTAAGTAAGCCTAGGAAGGCCGTCCTGCAGCGGCAAAGGCAAGAAGGGTTTAGGGTTTAGGGGCCGGAATAGGGTTCCTTTTAAAGGGTCCCTTTAAAAGGGTTCTAAAACTGAGGGTTCCTACAAGAGCTATATACGGGGGCAGGTAGCTGAACAGGCACCGACCGAGGCCTCAGGCTGACTTCTAGCGCAGCAGCTCGAATTTAGTGTTTAGGGTTTAGGGGTTGCTAAAAGCAGAGGTACAAGTCTGGTCGGAGAAAGAAGAAAGCAGGAACTCACAAGAGCGGGTTCAGGAGGAGTAAAGCCTGAACAAGGCGACGACAACTACAGCCGAATTTTTGTTTCCATGAGTGTGGAGCATGTCTGTGAGTTGACGGACTTGGCATGCAATCTGAGTCGTGCTTGAGTCAAGCAACTAGCCATTCTTCTGTAGCTTTGCATTCAGGATCAGTTGGTGAGGCGAGGGTTTCGGGTTCAGGGTAACACCCACCCCAAACCCTAAATCCTAAAATAGTTATCGATTTGCTATTTTTTTTTGTCTCTTTCCCTAGCTGTTCAATATGGATCCCGCACTAATCATTGTGGGGGACTGTTGACATCGACACTAAACCCCTAAACCCTAAACCCCAAGCCATAAACCCGAAACCCTAAGGTAGAAGCCAGAAAGTTGGAACATGATTGTCCTAACCCTTCTATGGTAAATTATAGGGTATCCTACCATGAAACCATATTCCAACTTTCTGGAGTTCCCTGTAAGCCCTCTCCTGCCGTGTCCAAGGCGTACGGACTCGAGGCACTTACCAGAGGACTTCCGTTTCAATACACCGACTGAGGGGTTTCTCAGGGTTTCGGTACTATTCCTAGGGGTTTCTTTCAAGGGGTCCTTAAAAGGGCGATCTATAAGGGTACCATAGGGCTTATAAGGGTTTAGGTCTATAGTTTAGGGTGTACTTGGAGGATCATGGGACTTAGTAAGTAGGTTATAAGTGGGGTTATAAGTCCCCTAAGTGGGGTTATCCTAAGTATAACCTACTTATAATGTTAATTACGAAGTCCCATGAGCCTCCAAGTAGGGTTTCGGTTTAGGGAATCGGGTTCAGGGGTTTAGGGTCTAGGGTTTCGGGGTTCGGGTTTCAGGGTTCCTGTATGGTTTCTAGATTTCTTTGTTTCGGGTGTTCTACTGGGTCTTTGTCAGCTTTCGAAGATGGTTTGATACTTAAAGGATCATGGGACTTAGTAACTAGGGTTATTATTCGGGGGGCTATACTTATAATTACTTGTAGCCCCAATCAAGGGACTTATAACTATAGTTACTAAGTCCCATGACCCTCCAAGTAGGGGTAGCTCAAAGGTTGGAGAGTTCAGGGCTTGAGGTTGTACCTTTTTTTTCTCAGTTTTTTTTGGTGCTTTCGGTGTTTAAAGTTTAGATATCCGGCCGCAGAGTTTGTTTTTTGTTTTGCAGGGTTTGCTCGGCATTTTTACAATAGGCCTCATCGTCTTGCAGGGCTTTATGAAGAAATCTACAAAGTTTCAGGGCTGGTAGAGGTTGCCATAGGTTTCCTTCTTGCTATAGTCTCCTTACGACTTTGTTTAAAGTGTTCATATAAAACCCAGGAGAATATTAACCATATATTTTTATGATGGTTCTAAGGGGGGTATAGTAAGGAATACCTAGGGTTAGGGGTCCTTTATGGGTTTTAGGAGAAAGGAATATGGCACAAGGGGAAGTATGGCCTTCAGCCGAAACTCTCGAGACTTCTTCCTTGGCCTCCGAGGGGCCGATGGGGTTTTAGGGGTTTAGGGTTTAGGGTTTGGGGTTTAGGGGTTTAGGGGTTTAGGGGTTTAGGGGTTTAGGGCTTTAGGAGTTTAGGGGTTTGGGTTTTCGGGGCTAGGCTTTAGGGTTTAGGGGTTCAGTGGTTTAGGGGTTTAGGGGTTTAGGGGTTCAGTCGTTTAGGGTTTAGGGCTTTACGGTTTGGGGGTGTAGGGTTTTAGGGTTTAAGGCTTCAGGTTTTTAGGGTTTGGGTTTAGGGGTTTAGGGTTTTAGGGTTTAGGGGTTTAGGGGTCTAGGGGTTAGGGGTGAAGGGTTTAGGGTTTTAGGGTTTAGGGTTTAGGGGTTTTCAGGGTTTAGGGTTTAGGGGTTTAGGATTTAGGGAGCAGCTTGTCGTGGCAGCCTTGCCGAAAGCGAAAGCGAAGGCCAAGAGCAAAGCGGCTTTGCGTCGACCGGCGGTGGCCGTGTTGAAGCGGCCCGCCTTTGCGGCTGGCGGCAGGGCGCTTGGCGACGATGGGACCTCGCCAACTTACCCACGTAAGCGGGGCTTAGTTAAGTCTATCTTTTTGCACGGATGCAGGGGGTGGGAAGCCTGTGTCCAACGTGGGGCCCACTACCACGAGTCTTGGTTTGCCAGCGAGTTTCCCGTCAGTGACAGCGATTGCCCTGAAGACCTTCAGGTTGCAATCGATGTCGCTGTCGCCATTGGCCCAATGTTCTGTGCAAGGATCCCTAAACCCTAAACCCTAAACCCTAAACCCTAAACCCTAAACCCTAAACCCCTAAACCCTAAACCCCTAAACCCTACTAGAAGACAATTGGCCCGAAAGCATCATCAGCGAAGATTGTGGGGCTATGTGATAGATCCAGTGTATAGGATCGTAAAGTCACAGAGTCAAGAGTCATAGAGTCCATGAGTCATAAAGTCATAGAGTTACAGTGAGATAGCGTCATAGAGTCATAGTGAGATAGAGTCACAGAGTCATGGAGTCATCTATGTACCATGCACTTGACTCGATGTAGTTCACTCTATGCTCTATGTGTGGGAACGCTTAATCGAGATCCCCATAGCGTGAGGGCTCATAGCCTGACCTGGACCTCGAGATGCAGATACAGTCAAGAGTCATAGAGTCCATGAGTCATGAGTCATAAAGTCAGAGAGTTACAGTGAGATAGCGTCATAGAGTCATAGTGAGATAGAGTCACAGAGTCATGGAGTCATCTATGTACCATGCACCAAAATGTGTAACTTCACCTCGCGCTCGAACCACTCGACAACGCCAATCTGTGTGAAGGGTTGCAAAATTCATCTCAATGCTCATCAAAAAATGCAACTTTACCTCGCGTTCGAACACTCGACCACGCCAATCCCTGTGAGGGGTTGCAAAATTCATCTCAATGCTCATCAAAAATTGCAACTTTACCTCGCGTTCGAACACTCCACCACGCCAATCCCTGTGAAGGGTTGCAAAATTCAGCTCAATGCACATCAAAAAATGCAACTTTACCTCGCGTTCGAACACTCGACCACGCCAATCCCTGTGAAGGGTTGCAAAATTCATTTCAATGCACATAAAATAATCCATCTCAATACTCGTCAAAAAATGCAACTTTACCTCGCGTTCGAACACCCGACCACGCCAATCCCTGTGAAGGGTTGCAAAATGCCAATCCCTGTGAAGGGTTGCAAAAAAAAATGAACTGCACCCAAACCCTGTGAAGGGTTGCGCGGCACCCGCAAAATGTGTAACTTTACCTCGCGTTTGAACACCCGAGGCAGCGAATCCCTGTGAAGGGTTCACGGCGCCCGAAAAATGTGTAACTTTACCTCGCGTTTGAACGCCCGAGGCAGCGAATCCCTGTGAAGGGTTCACCCGGGCGCCTAAAATGTGTAACTTTACCTCGCGTTTCAACGCCCGAGGCAGCGAATCCCTGTGAAGGGTTCACCCGGGCGCCTAAAATGTGTAACTTTACCTCGCGTTTGAACGCCCGAGGCAGCGAATCCTTGTGAAGGGTTCACCCGGGTGCCTAATAAGTTAAAAAATATGTAACTTTACCTAGCGTTTGGGCCCTCGCCCATGCCAATCCCTGCGAAGGGTTCACCCGGGCGCCTAAAATGTGTAACTTTACCTCGCGTTTGAACGCCCGAGGAGGCGAATCCCTGGGAAGGGTTGCATTCCCGATGGACGACAACGGTGCCACCCCCTGGCTTTAAAAGAGAGAATTAGATACCGAGATGTAGAGAGTAAGTCATAGAGGCATAGAGTCAAGTAAGTAAGTAAGTAAGTAAGTAAGTAAGTAAGTAAGTAGGTAAGTAAGTAAGTAACTAAGCAAGTCAAGTAAGTAAGTAAGTATAAGTAAGTATAAGTAAGTATAAGTAAGTATAGAGATAGCATAGAGTCCAGTGTCAAGTGTCAAGTAAGTTAGTAAGTAGATTGAAGTAAGTAAGTAAGTAAGTAAGTCGTAAGCATAACATAGAGTCAAGTATCAAGTGTAGAGTCAAGTATCATAGAGTCAAGTGTCAAGTGTAGAGAGTCAGTCATAGAGGTCAAGTAAGTAAGTAAGTATCAAGTGTAGAGTCAAGTATCAAGTGTAGAGTAAAGTATGGAGTCAAGTAAGTTGATTCTATGTCTGTCATCTATGTACTCAGCTGCGGCGTTCCACACGGAAGAACCCTTCGCGATGCTTTCGGGAAAACCCTAAACCCTAAACCCTATCTCAACGTTCCGGTGCATCTCGATCATGAGCTTCGCCTTCTCCTGGAGCAGGAGAAGTTTGGGCGCGGGCACCGCACACCCGTCACGCTGTAAAAAGTGCTGCTGCCGCTGTTGCAGCGACCCCGGCCTTCTCCCGCCAGGCTTCCCTAAACCCTAAACCCTAAACCCTGAGGGCAAGCCGACTGACTTCCCAGCGACTCCAATATCCCTTAGTTAAGGAATATTCCTTAAATCATATTAGGGACCCTACTATAATTTAAGGTATATTCCTTAATGAAGGGATATTGGAGTCTCTGGGTTGTCTTCCGGTTCATTCTCCGGGAGCTCCGAGAGGTAAACGACAGCCGTGTCACCAGAGTGCTTAGAGTGAGTAGGTTTGTCTGTTGGTCTAGGTTCCTGAGTAGCACCTTTTGCCCTTTTTTAGTTTGGGGTTTCGTTGTTAAAACTTAATATTAGGGAGAAGGGTACCCAACTCAGGAACCTAGTGGTCCAGCCCCTTGACCCTTTGAACCCGATAGGGGTTCCATCCCTAACCTCAGGACCCAATTTCGAATTTTAGCCCTGAGTTCCGAACCCTGAACCTTAAGCCCAAAGCCCTACGCCCTAAACCCTAAACCCCTGAACCCTAAGCCCGAAACCCTAAGCCCAAAGCCCTAAACCCTAAACCGTACTGAAGGATCACGTTGCGCTGGTCACAAAGATGCTGAAGGAAGTTGCCTCCGCAATCGGAGTCAGCTCCTCGCGACGCGCGGCTTACTTAAAAGGTTTAGGGTTTAGGGATTGGACTGCGGATTTCGAATGTATCTAAGACAGCGAATGGCCAGGGAACTCAGCAACTAAGTACGTATGCACGCATGTACGTATGTGTGTATATGTATACATGCCTGAGCATGCATACATGCATGCATTGATGCATTATCATGCGTTTTTACATACCACGAGACAACATCTAAATCCTAAACCCGGTGAACACGCACTCAAACAAACACTCCAACACCCTAAACCCAAAAAGGCTTGAACTCTGAAGATGAATGGGGTTATGAGTCCCTCAATTGGGGTTTTCCTTGACATTATTGACGTAGTCCCTTGGGATTCTAAGTAAGGAGGCATGAGTTGTCTGATCCTCGAGGAATTCGTCATAGGATGGACCCTAATCTAGTACCCTAAATAGTAGGATCCTTATTATAAGGACCCCATAATATGGTGTACCTAATTTTCGGAAACTCCCATATATAAGCCTGACAAATTACGACGATCCCATAAGGCTCCTCGTTAAAACTGTTGTGTAAGATACCCCACAACATTTCGAAGCCATATTCACATTAAGGCCCACATATGATTATGGGGCAGAGAAGATCACAGGGATCCCCGTCAGACTGCTTACCCTAAACCCTAAACCCTAAAAGAAACCCTACGCCCGTAATTCCGCAGCCCTTTCAGGAGCGGAGCTTCTCAAAGCGGCCGCCCGTGGTGTCTGGTGCCCAAGTGCGAGCAAAGGGTTCTGAATTAGGGACCAAAAAAGCACATAAGCATAAACATTTTATATGAATATCACTACCCTGTTGGGCTCGGATTCTCAGGGGGTTTATGTGGGATATCCCTATCCTGATTTTTGCTTACGTGCTTTTTTGGGGCCCTACTGAAAGGTTCAGGGCCCGATTGGTTTAGGGAAGAGGGCTGCTTTTCACCGGGGGCTTATAAGGGTTTCGGTTTAGGGTTTAGGGTTTAGGGTTTCGGTTTAGGGTTTAGGGTTTAGGGTTTTGGTTTAGGGTTTAGGGTTTAGGGTTGAGGGTTCAGGGTTTAGGGTTCCTCTTCAGGACTCCTTATGACTATAGGGGCCAAGACAGGTTTGGGGAGGATGTTCTACGGTGTTCCCATTAAGGGAACCCTAATCTAAGGAATCTCATTGGCAGTTATTTGTCTTTCAAATTGCCGGGGTCATTGTAAAGGTTTAGTTCTGTAGAGTTCAGGGCTTCATCCAGCTTTGATAGTGGGTCCTATACGACACTAAACCCCAGACCCTGATGCCAACTTATACCACCAAAACCCTACATTCTACACCCGAATCCCCGAACTTTGCCAAACTCTACACCCTAAGCTTTAAACTTGAACTCTAAATACACTTTGAGCCCGAAGTCCTGAACTTTGAACCCTAAGCCCTGAACCCCTCAAAACCCCCAACACCACCTAAAACCCCTAAGCCCTAAAACCCTATAGAGCCCTTTATAGAGCCCCTTGCAAGGGAACCTAAACCCTGATAGATCCCTTTACAGGAGCCCTCAACCCTAAACCCTAAAACCCTATAGAGCCCTTTATACAGCCCCTTTCAAAGGAACCCTAAACCCTTCTGGATCCTTAGATAGTAAACGGGGGGACTTAAACTTTTGGCCTTATACATTTGCTCTATTTTAGAAAATTTGAACTTTCGGGGCCCGGTTGTTGAAGAAGTGAGGATCCCTTTACAGGAACCCTAAACCCTAAACCCTTAACCCTAAACCCTAAGCTCTAAAGCTGCGCGCCTTCGGCATACAGAAGCCCGAAAAAGCTGCTTAGGTTATATTCCTTTCAGGTTAGGGTTTAGGGTTTGGGGTTTAGGGTTTAGGGTTTGCTGCAAGATTGCGTAGCGGTAGTGTAACAGGGATTGTAGGATTTAATAGCGGTTTTGTTGCCTGCGAATCGCAGCCATGGCCCGACTGTGGCGGGCCATCACATAACTCACCCACCCCACGCCGTCTGAGGCGGCAAACCACCCAAACCTATACCTTTTAGGGTTTAGGACCTAAACTCTGTTAGGTCCATGCTGGTTAACAACAACCACACAATTCTGCAGCCAAGCTTCTGCTCCGAAAAGGCAGGGCAGAGCAGGGGCAGCAAGTAAGGGCCGCCGGGGTCAGGGGGGCCAGGGCCAGGGGGGCCCTAGTGGCGGAAACGCAAAAAAGAACAGTTTTTGTCCAGTCCCTCTTACAACCGGCCAG